GACCGAGGTGGGGATCGGTGGGATGGGGCAGCTGAGCAGGGAGGGAGGCAGAGCTCTCCCAGCACACTCCTGACACCACACAAGTGGGGATGTTGTCGCTCCCCCCATCAGGATGCTGTCTCATCCAGGTGAGACCCTCATCCCTGACTGCTGCACCCCTCCATGGGCTCCAGGGGCTGGGAGCTGAAAGCTTCACAGAAAGAATGATGAAAAGAGTCAACGCTGGGAGGAAGGATAAGCGTTGCTCCTGCATGAAACATAAAAACTCACACTGAAGCAATTTTCCCTGTTACAGGCAGCTATAGCCCATTACCAGTTAGCAGCAGCAGGATTTTGGGGGGGGCTTTAGGAGCAAGCACGGGGCACAGTTATCCCTCTCATCTCAGTATCCCCAGCGCAGAAGGGAAGCATGCCCTGGCTGTCACTGCAAAGCAGCTGAACGAGGAGCGAGGGCAGCCTCAGCCCAGGCCTCGTTTCTAAATAAATGAAATGTGCATCTTCCACGTGGTCAGCTGGGAGGGAGAAGCCTATCTCAGGAGCGATGGCAGGTGCTGCTGAGCTATTTCCATTTTCCAGCTCTGCAACCTCAGGAACCTCTTTAATCCAAACCACCCGCCAAGCTCTATTCACTGGCAATGAAGACCAGCCAGTGTTTTCAGATTCATTTTTAAGGCTGTCTTTAATTTTTGGAAGTATCTTGCTGGCGGATTTTTGGTCCCACCTGTGATTCAAGAGGAGATTTGTAAATCTCATTCTCGCTTTTTCAGTCATTTAAAGGGACACGTCATGCCAAGAATTTAGGCTCCGCTTTTAATAGAGGGAACATGGGGGTAAAGGGATATGAAAAGAAAATCAGGAGGTACAGGAACACTTTGGCGGATTTGTTAGAAATGAAAACACTCTTTATTTGATTTCTGCATTCCCTGGGGCAGCCAGGGGAACCTACACGCAATTGCACTGAAATAATGTATGAGAGTCAGAGAGTGAATTTGACAAGAAGCTCCACCAGACTCACCTAGAAGCTCGGCAAAGTACAAAATGTAAATGCAGCAGAGAAAAGAGTGGCGTAGCTCAGGGCCGTGATCTCAGTTACCCTGCTTTAAGGCGTCAGTAACAGCAATTGAGCCAGGAAAATCAGAGAAGAGCCACGCCAGCCTGACTTTAGTTAGGGTTTATGTTCCACATACATAATCTATCGATAGATGTTAAGGTAGACTGGCATTTTTGTAGGCACTTGTTCCACTTCACGAGCACATATGTACACACATAGGCAGACGCAGATACGCATGCACAGCTACTGCTCCAAATGCTTTCTGGTGTCCAGCTTGCCGAAATGCTTTCAATTAGGGTTTGGAAAAGGTTGACTCAGTCAGCGTATGCGACACTTGCCAGAGACAAAATTAGTTTTAGTCACTGCTGTTTTCCTTCCAAAACAAAAAGCCCCCCCCTCTCCCTTGCTCTCTTCCCTTACATTCAGTGGCACGTATTCTCAGGTAGGTGTTTAGCTGATTTTTAATGCCATGGAAACTTCATCTGCAAATTCGTTAGAAACTCTTTAGTGAAACAGTCTAGTAAAACAGATGATTAATATTGGTAAGCTCCTCATTTGCATATTAATTAGTCTCTGTACTCAACTAATTAAAACAGGGCTGCCTGTTTGTAGACTTTCTGAATTCCAGATTGTTGCTATTGCTCCCACGTAGGTGCGTTTAGCACAGCTAAGGCAGGCCATCGATACTACCCACCAGCCACCCTAAACAGCAGTAGCAGCATTTAAAGGCATTTGGGGCTCTGAGGAAGGTACTTTCAGCACTTCCTTTGAAAAAAAAACACAAGGCTGATGCTTGAAATGGCAGGATGTATTGCCTGAGTGGTGCTCCAGCTTCTCTGTGATGCTCTCAGGGAGCAGGACAAGTGCAGAAGCTGGCCAAATCCAAGGGAAACAGAACATCACAGGGCACGAACAAGCTCACACCAAGCTGCCCTTAAGCCCTGTGTTACTCAGCTTTGTCCAGAGATGCAGCCTAAAACCAAAGCTCAGCCTGACAACCCAAGAGGTGAAAACTGAAGGTTAATTCTGACCTCTGTCACTCTGGTGGAGCTCTGCAGGGATGTCACACAGACCAGCCACTGCCTGACCTTTCACAGGTGAAGAGCTGCACGTCCCCATTCTGCATTTCCCTGCTGGCACTGCCTGGGTGCATGCATTACAATGAAATTCTGCTGTTTATTCCTTGCCTTGGAGCTCTGGCACTCAAATACCCATCTCCCACCACGACCTCCTTGGTCACAGAGCCATCCAGCCCTGCCCTCTCTCTCCAGGGCAGAAGACCCTGCCCCATCCTGCCTTTCCTGGCTGAGGACACACCATTGCCCCCTCTCCCACCATGTAGCCCCCTGTGCTTCACAGCCAGCACACCTGCTGGTGGCCATGACTCCTCTCTGTCCTCCTGCCACCTCTTCCAGCTCCTCCTGCTGCTCTTGCTTCTGGACCTGCTTCTTGGCTCTGTTCTCCTTCCCCTCTCTCCCCGTGCACCTGGTTTTAGTTCCTCCCAGCTGCTGGTGTTCCCCACCTTGCCATCCCTGCAGTAGTACAGTATTCCTGCAGAAATTCAGGAACTGAGGATAAAACACGCCAGGCGGAGAGGCCCCGTACGAATGTCTATTTACTGCTACAAAATGTTTTGCATGGCAGTGACGAGTAGGTTTTCTCAAACTGTCTGTGCACGCAGGGTTTTTCCTCACCCTAGCTGCCAATAGCAGTTTGACAGGTTTTATTATACTCCATTATTCACAACAAGCCAGGTCGCTGTGCCATATGCTGTCCAGTCCTGCTAAAGCTAACCATGTGCCCATGTTGGCTGCTCACCAAAGCTGGGTAAAACATGCTCCCTTTTGCCTGCTATTTGTTTTGAAAGAACTGGAGACAGGGGCTTCGGGTCAGGCGCTCCTGTCTGTTTTATCGCACAACTTTGCTCACCCTCAGCAGCCCAAGGGCCAACTCAGTTGGAAAATCAAGGATCCTGGTATGGTTTGCACCTGTGGTTCTTGTGGAAACCTGCCCTGATATGGGGCTGGTGCAGTCTGAGATAGGAGCAGGGTCTGAAACCTCTCTGGGGCTATGGGAAGTGAATTCAACCTGGAGCACAGCTTTTGAGATGATTTCGTGCCCTGCTTAGCAAGAACCATGCAGTATTTCCGAGACTAAGCCTCTGCTTCACTGGCAGCAGCTGTATTAGAGGCATCACAGCTACAGCAGGCGTTGTACCTGCATATGGCTGGACAGGCTTCCTAAGGCATCCTCCAAACCAGTGCTCACCACTCCATGGCACACGCAATGTGCTACAGCCTCCTGCTGCTCCCACAGCTTTTTCTTCCCAGCATCAGGCAAGCTGATGGCAGAGGCTACTAAGTTCTCCCATTTCTGTACATGATTCTTGTTTCTTCGGGTGTGCTGTCTGCTGATTCCCTTCCGTTCCCTTCGGTGTCATTTTCCCTGTTTGTGTGGCTTTTCATGATCCTGTCACTGGAAAACGAGCAGCGCCTCTGGCCCTTTCTGGAGATGGGTTGGGCTTTTTAAATCTCTTTCTGTTGCTAACTGCTACACTTTTTGTTCAGTTCACACATTTGACAAGCAGAGCCATCCTGGATCAAATGAGATGTAGTTCAAAGCCAGTGTCCTGCCTGCAGCAGTGGCCAGCAGCAGCTGGCTAGGGAAGAATGCAAAGACACAACGAATGGAAAGGGATCTTCCTGGCCATCACCACTTTAGGGATCTCTTAAGAATTTCCACAAATTTCAGCTTTCCAGGCTTGTTGTCTTCCATGAGATTTCCTTTCAAAAGCCTTTCTGCAGTTCCTTGGCTACTTTTATGCTGTTTTTGTGGTTTATGGCTATGTACTTCCAATAAAGGAGCAAAAACTGTGGTGCATTCCCCTCACTGTGCTCCATGCACACACACTACCAGCCTGTGACTCCTCTAATCGTGCTGTTACAAGGATGCTCCAGCCCTGGGCCACCTACAAACTCCAGGGGCTGCTGTAGTGTGTGGCACCGTAAGGACCCAACAGAAGACTTCTCTGCCCAACCCTGTCCATGTGGTATCACTGTGAGGGTGATAAATCATGGTGGCAGCTCAGGCTGGGAACAGCGTGCCTCCCATTGCATGCACTGAAGGCAGGTGATGCTCAGGTGTGTGCTGATGGCATGAGATAATTTTGATTTAAAGCACGTGAGATAATTTTAAGTGTATATCCAAATTTATGCATGAAACACAGTAGATGTACCCACTGTGTGTGATCCAGCTCAAGGGCTTGTATGCTTCTTGGTGCTGTAGGCAGAATCTGCTTGTCCCTTCTCATAACGTCCTGGGTTCCCATCACATCCTTCATGTATCTCAGTTTCTAAGGGTCCAGCCATTTGCAGAAATTATCATTTTAATGCTATGCATGACCATGAACTCTAGGGACGTCAGTGGCAAACCACATATTATTGTCACTGTATGACCAGGGCTTGTCTTGCCACTAGCTTTTCCTCTTCAAGTTGGCATAAGCTTCTAAAGATCGTTATAAATATCTATCTAGTTATATCTATAGATAGCTATAGAAGCTGATCTGTTCTTCTTTGTTTGCAAGCTTTACAGTCAAGGCAGCACAAGTGGCACAAAGGGGTCAACACCTAACTTTATTTTAGCCTTGCAGGGCTTTCACCTTCTGGGACTATTTTGATAGAGTGCTGGATAAGATTTCCAATAATCTCTTCACCCTCACCATGCGGTGGGGATGCTCTGGCATTCCACCACAGTTCCGTACTACAAACTGAGCAATAGCATCTCTCATTTCATGAGGTTTTCAAATTGAAAGTTTGAAACACTCACTGCTTAACAAGGGCGTTGGTTCTAGATGCTATTAGAGCCCTGACGGTAACAATTGGCCTTAATTACCCTGAGGGCACCAATTGGCCTTAATTGCCCTGAGAAGCACTGATCTGGGACCTCTGACCAGCACTGATTTTGTCTCCTGCTGCTCCTGATGGGACTCCTTGGATGGGGCCCTGCACTGACACATCACTTCACCTTGTCTGGCTGTCACTGGACTGTCACCACACTGTGGGGCTGTGTTTTGCTGGTAAAGGTGCTGTCCCACCTGCGCTGTGGCTCTCCTGCTGCTCCTGCACAGGTGTCCTGCTGGTACTCTCAGGCATGTCCTGTCTCGTTAACTTCATGGCAATAAAAGACAGTCAGTTCTCTGGTTCTTGCTAGGAGAAATAGCCAAGTATTGCTGTGATACATCCAGAGAGACAAGGAGGTCATCATGCCTACCACCTTCAGGGAGATGCTGGTACCCAGATATGTTTGCTCTAGGTAAAGTGCACACATTGATACTGAAATTCTTCATGCTGTTGTGGTTTTGCTCTCTACTTTCCTGAGGCATGGCTGTGTTTTCCTTTGACTCCTTCCTGAGAGTAGGAGGCATTTAACTGTTTCGATCACATAATAGGTTGCTGTTCTTTGTGCTTCTCAATAAGGACAGAATAATGCATTTCCTATGAATTGCATTTGCCTTGTACTGGGCAATGCATGTCATCAGCATATGGATGTATTTTTCCCAGCTCATTTTCCTGCTTATCAGTTTGGTTGGTATTACATGACAGCTAGGTCTGCAGTCCAGCAGAAATCAAATTGGTCATTGATCCCAGAGCAGAGTAACTGCAGTGGTGGCTGAATGGTTAGCAACCTTCAGAGATGTGCCTCGCATGTGTGAATCTGCCTGTCTCTGTTATCACACCGTAGAAATTCTCTTTGCTGGAAGTCTGTGTCAATAACTTTACCACTCCGTAAGCAGCTATGCCTTCCTTCTGCAGAAGATACCCTGCTGCAGAGAGAAATGGGGTTGTTTCTCCAATGTCTTCCATCCGTATTCATGACTTGTATGTTATCCCCCAGTCTCCTGAATTGTTCATGTGGGTTATGCTGGATTCTGATGTATTAGTTGGCTTTCCTGCTTCATGTAAACTACTGCCTTTGGCACAGGCACTTGTTCTGCTCTAGCAGCCCTTCTTTTGGTGTGGTCTTTGATTCAGTTCAGCAGCCCTTGCTGCTCCTTCTGTAGGTTTAGCTCAGTCTGAATGAACTGGAGTCCTCACACTTCAGAGGTGGGAGCATTTGCAGGGATCTTTAATGAGTCTTCGTGCCAGACGTCTTGGTTGTTGCTCTGAGTATGTTTCTTCTATATTATATAAGCACAAATATGTTGTAACATTCCCCAACACAGCTCTCATTTCCCCAGGGTCACTGTACTCACCAAATACATTACAGACTTCCTTACATTACAGGCAGGTGAGGGAATTGCATGGCAAGTGTATCTTGCCACTTACCCCCCTTCTCATCCCACTGGAGGAAGAGACAAACTTTTGTGTCCATGCACCCCTTGGCCAACTGTTAGCACCCAAACAGGGACATTCCTTCACAGGCTTGGGCACGTAGCTCTGAGTCTGGAAAGAAGAGCATCTCTGCACTGTTCTCACAAGTTTCTGTCTTTGTGTCGTCTCACTCTCATCCTTCCTGTGGATCTCACAGGATTGAAGGTTGTTATCTTCTTCTCTACTGCCACATGCTTGCTTGGCAAGAACAAGGAGGGGCTACATCTATGAAACAGAAGTTGTCTTCTTAGGAACGAAGATGTCTCCTTGCTATGATACTGCAGCCAGCGTTAAACTATATGCATGTAGACTGACTTACAAGTTTCCCCAGTTCTTCGTTCCCATTTTAAGACTGTTGCATTGACTGCTTCAATGCTACATCAGAAAACCAGTCATTTGTTGGATCCTCAAATGCTAACAAGGTCCAAGGAACTGCAAGCCCTCAGCCCCAGACTAAGACAGGCACATATTTCAAAGGCTGGAGCCTTCATTTTGTTTAGTAGTTATTTTGTTTTTGCCAAGCAGGTACGTGTGTAAATCCCTCCTGTTGGGGGTAATGTCTTTGATCCCTGGTATCTAAACTGCCCACCCATGGAAGGAGTCAACATCCCAGGTCTGTGTAGTAATGGATCAGCCAGTTGAGTCTCTCATATGGGTTGGTGCCATTGAGGCATTCAGCACGCTCCTTCCAACTGCTCAGTAAAAGAAATGTGTTCAGAGGTGTAAATAATTTTGACAATTCAAGTGTTGTGTTAATACACTGATCAAAATGCTGAGAATTTTTAGGTCAGGGCACATCTGTTCATCACAGCAATCTTGTTAAGAGGTAAACCCTCATAGCCTGGGAGATGCTGAGGAAATATTGCAGGATTCCTGTTTGGCTGTTTTTTTATTTTTTTTTTATTTTTCCCCAGTATCAACTTGTGCTGGATCTTCACCACAGAAAGACTCCTGTCAGGGTCTTGAACACTAATCAGAGAGACCTCAGCAGAAACAGCATTAAACCAAATGGGACCTAAAAGGCCAGAAGCGTCTCTGCACTGCTTCCCAGCATCAGCACTGATGAATGGCCAAGGCTAATAACCATTAATCAACCCTACTAAATGAATTCAAGGAGTTTAGACAAAGCTAAAAGGAGCAGAGTCATGGGGCCAATGTGTAGAGCTGCTGTCATTCATGTGAGGTTTGGGTCAGTTTCCTGCCTGTGCCACTGATTCATTAGCTAAATCTGGGCACCTCTGAGGCTAACAGGAGGCTTCCTGTTGTCTGCCAGGAGCTTGGCTTAGAGCTTTTATTCTCTCCTCTTCCCTGCTTCTGAAATAAAGATAGTGCAGCTCACCAGGGATGCTCTCTTCAGGCTTGCACTACCTAGGGTGTAACAAAAAGGCAGATCTCCTGTGGCCATTAAACTTCTTGGGACATTAGCCCCACCGTCTGGGTACAATGTGTCTTGCTTACCATGAAATTTCTCTGGGAATAAACCCTTTTGAGTCGATGCACTTCAGTCCTAACAAAGCGGTACAATTTGCATTACACATCCGTTGTTTTAGAAGACAATGGACGAAAATCTGGAGCTCTACACTTGGTTTTCGCTCAGTCTGTCTTCTGTGGGAATATTGCCAGCCAAAGAACTGACTGAAGAAGCACTGGTATTAACACTGTGTTTCCAGTGTTATTTGTCTGAGTAATATACTTCAGAGTATATTTATTAACCTGAGGTAAAAGCCCAGGGAAATCTGTTGAAATCTTTGCATTGATCACAAGTAGCTTTTAGATCAGAGCCAAAAAATAAGGAAATACACAGGTTCTTGAAAATCCAGGCATGTAGGCAAGAGGAATAATCTATTCCCTTTTGGGGGCTGAGGGGGATGGAGGCTGAGAGGTGAAACTGCCTGTCTGGTGCTGCTTGGATAATCTGAGATTGACACTAGGTAAATACATATGTTTTAGGAAGTACTGGCTATGGGATGAGGATGTTCAGTTGATGCGAAATGGGCTAAACTTTAAAGAGCAAATTAAAGACACTTCAGGAAACTTCAATTAAAAAAAATAATAATCCCAAAGCTTCACATGGTTTTGGTATAGCATGAATTAAGGGCCAACTTCTTTTAATTGAATCCAAAAAGCTCCCCTGACTATTCTCTCTTCCATTTCTACCTTCCCCCTCCTTTGGTGTCTGTAGCTGTTATGTTTTATTTACAGATAATTGGAAACGGAATATAAACTCTTTCAATAAGCCCAACTGGAACTCCAAAGAAATCAGCTATTAATGAGTTTACTTAAAGCAATCATGCTTAAAGGCGGTAATGATGGATGGATGGGGCAGCAGCAGGCATGTTCTGGCAGAAGGGATGAAAATCCACAGCTTCCCCTGGCTTAGGGAAAAGCTTGATCTCGACCCAAAACCTAGCAACCGACTTCCTCAGGTGCTGACTTTTTCTGCATTGAACTGATCTGGCTTTAATCACAGCTCTCAAAACTGACTTTCAAATAGCTGGAAATCTAGATCATTTGAATTATGGAGTGTGGTTCCTCTTTTTGTAATTGGCATATTGCTGAACCAGTGGTCAAGATGGGTCAGAATATGCCAGAGGAGAACACAGGACTGCTCAGAATACTAAAATCAGAGCAGGCTTTGAAGAAAGGGCTGTTCAGTTCTATCTCTGATAATTTCTTCTCTGTTGCTGCATTCCCTGTCCCAGGAGTTTATCCACGCTGGCTGATGGCTAGTTCTTGTTTTCTCCCCATGGCCAAATCCTGGAGTCCCATTTCCTGACTGTTTGTAATTCTGGCAGCACATGACTGACAAAGAAAGGACTCTCCATTTCCATTTTGACATTTTCCTTTTTATTCTACATAGATATGTATATACACTTGTTTTGGCCTTTTTTTTGGTCACTTCTCTTCTTCTTTCTTTACTAGCAAATATTAAACTATAGGGGAGTTTGAGCTGAAGTACATATGGCACATTTGATAAAGATGTTCTAAGTGGACAAATCACTTCCAACTATTTTCCACTCGCAAGGAGCAAAGGCAGTTTCCTGCCTGTATTCTTAACAAATCTCTCCTTGCTTTTATTGGCAATGCTTCTGTTTTGGCAGCAACCTGTCAAGTTTGGAGCTGGCAATCATGTTTTTTAGCATTCTCAGCTCAAATGTAGGCAACATGTTTTCTACAAAAACATCCTTCCTACTCTTCGTTAGTGCTTCCAACATTATTGTTCCTGGTACAGAAAGCAAACATTGGTAGCTTCCCCTCTCCCATCACTGTAACCTGGGCTGAACAGGGTTGAAGTGACAAAGTTTTCAGTTAGGAAAAAATATTCAGTGAAGTAACAAAAAGAAAATGCCCCTGTAGAAAGCCCAGAATGCAGTCAGACACACGAGTGGCTGTCAAGGTTAGGAGTTGTAAACTGGCTTTGAATTAGCTGGTTGGTCCACACTGTGCCATGTGGAGATGCTTGATTCAGGGTACTAGAAATGCTACGGTGTGTTAGCATCACTGCACTATGCTCCATTCTTGTCCCAAGAGTCTTTTCCAGTTCAAAAAAAAAAAAATCCCTAGAAACACATTGCACAGGAAGCAAAACAAGACAAGCCCAATAAATGGGGTTGCTTTTTCCACTCAGTATAGAAAACATGCAAAATGTATCTGAATCATCAAATGAATCAGGATCCTCCTTTGCTTGAGCAATGAGTTTGTCCTTACAATCCCTGTTAAAACCTTTCTGGCTTCCTGTGCATTTCACAAATTATTGAAAATCCACATCCCTGTAGAGACCTTACTTTAGGCTCCTAGATTTATTGTCCTACTGCCTGCCCTTGTTGGGTTTCCTGTTGTTCATCCCCCTTGTGCAGGAAGGGTACCAGCTCAGGCCATGCTGTACTCTGGTTCTTCCTCATCAAATATCCTCTCTCTCTCTGTTTGCTGAATTCTCACTTTGCAACAAGACCAGGCATAGTGGCATTCCACTTCACAGCTGTACATAGAAAAAGACTTCTTAACACTTCCTGCTAGCACTGTTGCTGGCTCCCTCGGCTATCTCATAAAGCTTAGGAAATCAGTTTAGCCTGTGGCCTCCCTTTCCCTAAACCTCCTATCCTGATTCCTGAATTCTTGCTCCATCCTTAGGAGATCAGGTAATCTAGGATGGGATAACCTTACATACGGAGCTTAAAAATAAACTATGAGGTAATGAGGAAGTTAGTCTCTGCTGAGAAGTTTGGAGCTCTTTCTGTAGCCCACCCTGAGGTTAGGATGAATATCCCAGCCCCAGCAAAGAGTAACGCATCTCTTCACACTTGTCTTTCCTTTATCCCTTCTAATGGAGCTGCTGTCCCCTCAACACAACTCACTTCAGTGGCTGCAATCATTAAAGGCGTTGGAAATAGGGTCTGAGACTTATGCAAAGTCCTGCCTCAGGTGTCATGACCAACGAACCGATCACAGATGCCAGCTCCTCTTAGAATGTCATCCCTGACTTCGTACCCCATGGCAGATCTGTCACTCAGTAGCCAAACATGTTCATACAGCAGAAGCCTTTAGGTGCACTTGTACCCTCAAAACTCAATGGAGTTGCTGTCATCCTCCAACTGTTCAGTGGCCTAGATGAAATTAGTTAGAAGTCTAAATGCGGCTGCTAATAAAGATACTGTCTTTCTGCCTTAGAAAAAGCACCAGCTCCTTTTGCTACCAGATGTCCTCTTTGGCAGTTTGAGTCAACGAGGAGCGAAGTGATGAAGAATGAATGCAGTCTTCAACCGGAGGCCTCAGGTCCCAAGCGGCAGCGGTGGAGGCAGCAGAAGGGAAGTTCTCTATTGCTGCTGCCTGCTGGGGTTTGGAGTTGATGTCAGTTCCTACTTACGTTGCTTGTCACCAGAATCCACCAGAGCCACTTGTGTGAATCTTCTCATGTTCAGCAAACTTCCTCTGTTGGCTCCACACAGGTCTCCTGGAGTGCTGCTTGCAACCTTCACTGAGGGGTCTGTGGGTATGAAGGCTATGTGTCATTTTACTTCAGCACCACTATAACCTTGGGCAGCAAAAGTTCCCTCCAGCTTTCATTTCACTTACAGCAACAGTGCTAAATAGGATTGCCCCAAATGGTCAGCTCTGGACTTAGCAAACTGATTTAAGGGCTGGTGACTCTCAGATTTCAGCATCATTTAGATGTGTTTTTGTTGTTGTGTGTGTTTGTTTTAATGTATTCATTTTTGAAGTATTTGCATTTCCTGCACAAGACTTGGATTTCAATGTTTCAGTTTTCTGGAACGCTTTCTCCCATTCAGCTTAAGATAACTTAAAGAAGACAAATTTGCTTCTGTGCTTTAATCCAGAGGCTTAAGTAGGTATAAAAAGACTGCATGCAGTGACCCCCAGGAATTCAGTTATGTGACTTAGACTTGGAACAGCCAAATTCTCTCCCTGCCCCTTCCCTAGACTTTGCCATCATAAAATCTGCAGCTATTCTGCACTTGTTACTGTGATCGAATGCTCCCTAGCAGTCTGGAAAATATGGCCATCATGTGTAAGCGCTTACTACGGTAAGCTTGGTACTTAGCGTTGCCACATCAAGGAAGCTAATCCTCTATAAAGCAGCTGCTTCCCTCAGCTCTGCTAGCAAAAACGTCCTTGGGCTTTAGCTTTGTGTTACATCTCCACGCCTGTTGCGGGATACGACGGTGGCAGCAGTAATTACGAACTAGACCCTCACGAGTCCGAATGGCAGATGCGTGCACCTTCCCCCACTAACATCTCCCAGGACAGCCTTCACGTTGTGGCAAAGCTTAACCCGGGCCGTAGCACCCCATATTTCGGCGTGCTCGCCCCCAAGCAGCCCCCCCACCACCTCAGGAGGCCGGGTGCCTGAGGCGGCCTCCCCCGGAGGCTGAGGCGGCGCTCGGCCTCCCCCTGGCGGCCTCGACCGGCAGCGTTGCGGCCTTTGTCCCCAGCCTGAGGGCAGCCTCCAGGCCTGAGGGCTCCGGGGCTGCTCCCTCCTGCCCCCAAGGCCACCCCCCACTCTGAAAGGAAAAAATAAATAAAATAAAATGCTAATTCTGCCCGGCTTCCCTGTTCTCGGGCTACCTCCACCTGCGTTTCACCGCATCAGGGATATTTAATAGCTTATTGCCTACTGCACTCCTTCTTCCCCATACATCAACAATAGGTGTTTATTCTCTTTTCTTTGCTTCATTCTGTGTCTTTCTCTGTGTTCTGCTTCAGCGTATCCTAATGCCGCTTTGGTAGCATGGCACACATCGGGAGTGAACCATCGAGGTCCTTGGGATGTTGCTGGTCAAGCACCTCTTCTGCTGTCAGGCCACTGAAATGTTAGCTGTCACATTGTCTGCATGTTCACACCCAGGATACAACAGCCCCAGACATTGCCTCTGTTAGAGAAACTCCACATAGTCCAAATCCACTCCATTTGGAAGCCTTTCTTGGGCCCTTTTTCCACCCAAGTGCCTACGGAAATCTGGCAGCACATACTAGCTGGTAACAGGCAACTAGTTCAGTGTCAGTTTATTTATCACATTTACCTTGTAATCTTTAACCGAGTGGTAAAAACTTATTGCCTCCATGCTTCTGCATCCAGCTAACTGATGTATTCATTTGGATTCACGTTACTGCCTTCCTCTTTCACTACCTCTCATTGACTTGGAGTCTTGTATCAGGCTCTAAATTTTGGAGGCAAAGATCAAGTCCCATGAGGTTTGTGGACAAATACAAATTAATATCCCGAGATCTTTGAGAACTACAGCTCTTTGGAGAAAGAGGTCTTGTGGATTTTCTGTCTTGGGAACTCCCTCAAGGTGCATACCTGTTTCCTGGAGAAAGTGCCCTACTGCTGCCTACAGATAACCTGTTACATCCTGATAATTGACATAATGAGCATCCTCTACCTCCAATGTTTAGAAATAAAGACGCAGAATCCCATCTCCCATGGCTGCTTTCTCTTTTCATGCAGAACCCTACGGTATGTCTACACAGTAGATCATACCTTGGATGGCCCAGCTAGCACCAGCCAGAGCCCGGCAGTCCTTGTAGCATCAGGATGGACAGGTGGGGCCTCATGAGACTTTCCATGTTGCTGCCACAGTGCTATCTGGGGCCTCCAGTTTTGACTGTGACCTTCTACCTGATACTCAGGAACACCTTTCTGATGTCTACCTGTCTTACATCTTCATTTTTTAGTTAGTTTGTTTGTTTCTCTAAGTAGCCTCACTTCTTTTGTGAGGGCAGGAGAGGACAGAAGGCCTTATTTTGCAGTTTGGAGTTGTTGATCCTGTGGTAATTTGGTAGCAGCAGTGACTAGAAAATTTAATGGGAGACAGATACACTGAGCAGAGTAGCAATACTTCACTACGTGCCAGTCTGGGGCAGGAATAGCTGTTGAAATCCTTGCAATAGTCCTAATTAAGGTCTTTTTTACTACTTGTCACGTACCCTCTCTGCTCCCAAATCCAGGGTGCTGCTGTTGCTTCCACCAGACAAGCCACCTGTAAATGCTTCTATGTACTTCTGTGGGATCTTTGGCAGTATCAAGAGCAGGAGACATGGTCCAAACAAGTCTTCTGTATGCTGATGATAAGGCAGAAAATGAAGTGTTGAAATGTCAAGATGATGAGCACTACTTCAGCCAAACGATGATTGCACTTCTAAAGAAAAGAGCCCACAAAGAGCCCAGGGGTTCTCAAAGGCAGCATGGCACAACAGTTCAAGAGAACCATTCTGAAACAGAAGCACTCACCTGTATGCTCAGTGTTATTATCTGTGCCTCAGTCACAGTTGGGTGACAATAGTGGCTGATCCTGCCTCTTAGGACAATGCTGTTTTTCTTTTTCTTTTCTTTCTTTTTTTTTTTTTAACATCTAATTTTTTAGTATGCCTTAAGTTCAAAATTGTGGTTCAGAATCTCTTTTTCTCAGCCTGAAACCCCTGAAGGCATGAGTGGTGAAAATAGAGTTCCCACTACAGGGTGGACAATGCAGGCCAAGTCTAAGTGATGGGAAACTGAGTTGGATCAGGGACATACCTACAGAGACCATTGGCCAAAAAGCATGTTAGACACAGGTGTGTGCCTTAGGACATGGCCAGGAGAGTCATTTTGAGAGCAACTAGCTAGTGTATTTAGTTAAAGACATGTGATGGGTGGGGAAGCTCAGATCCCTCTGGAAACTGAACTGGAGCGGGTTTGCAACTGACAACTGTCCATCTTGCAAGGGACAGGGAATCAGCTTGTAACATCATTCACAGCACAGCCAGAAATTCAGCATCCTCAAGCCTCATCTAAGATTGAAAAGTGCCTCCAAAGGAATTGTTTGTTGCTTTGTTTGCAAAAAGTGCAAAGGGCACATCAGAGAAACAAAAATGCCTTGGTGGATTGTTTGGCTGAACACTTAGTCAGGGTGTATTGTAATGAGCCATATGCTAGCTTTGCATAGTATTATGGGGCAGGCCAGCTGCAATGTGCAGCTGATTAGTCTGGTTGGAAAAATCTTCATTTTCTGTAAGAGGAAGACAGCAAAGGCAAGCATTCTGGCAGGTGCCAAACAACCTCTCAGACTGCTCCTGTCATTTTGCTGTGGATCAGACCAAGCTATGAGAGGAAAAGAACCTCTGCATAATTTTTGTCCAGGGAGGGAACCTTGTTAGCCCTAGGCTTGTTTAACAGTAGCTGTATTTATGAACCATAACCCTTTTATTTTCTTATGGAAGACGTTTGAACCACTCCTCCCTGCAGCTGTCATTCTCATTGCCTCAGTCAGAGCTCAGTCATGCAGCATTCAGTTTAGCTGATGTGGTGGAAACCTTCTGTGAGTTAAGGGAATGGAGGCCAGGAGGGGATGGGAACCTGCTAAAGTGCAAGATTGTGGAAATGTTTGTGCAGCATCCAAGCAAAGGTCCTTCTGCCCCAAATCCTATCTCTTACTGTGGCCAAAAGCTGATGCTTAGGCAAGCGTATAAGGAGAGAGAGTAAGCATTTTCTCCAGGTATCAGCACTGAACAATTTGTGTCTCAGGGACTTCCTGAAGCCAGAGGTGCTTCCTCTTTGCATTTGATAAACCTCAGAAGGCTTTCCTTCTGTGCACTTGTATGGCCTTCACTTGAACCCACTTATCTTCTGGCATCCACAGCAGCCTGGGCTAAAGAGTTTCACAGCAACTTGTTAAGCCACTGGTGGACAAGCTGAACACTTCCACCATCAGGAACAGATCTGCTCTAGATCTCAGCTCTGCCAAATGCTGAATCAAGGATCTGTGTGGCCACCCTTTGAATGGGTCAGAAATCCCCAAGTAGAGGGTGAGAACATCAACAGTTCTTTAAGGTCTTCTTTCAAACTATTACTGGTTGTGTCTCCTATGCAAAATTAACAGCTGTGTCAGAATCCATTATGAATTAATACAACAAATGTAGGAACACAACGCCAATGAACCAGAACGAGATTTTAGCTTTAAGAAATTTGATTTAACTGTTTTTTCAGATGGAAATTTATTTTAGGATTATCCTTTTGCATTTACATAGATCTAATGCTTTGAATGCTCTGGGCCATCATTACACACAGACAAAGGGTCTGAACATACATGAAAATTACTTGAGAAAGGCTAAAAAGAAGCCATGAGGCTGTCTCTGTCTCTGTTTTGGGGTGCCCGCAAGAATTTGACATCTAAGCATCTAAAGTGCAGCAGCAATGAAGCAGTAGTAACAGGGGGAGGTTGGGAGCAATGTGGTAAAACCTTGGGGATACCATATTTATGTCTGAGTGAGAAGGCTGATTCAGTCTCATTAAAAGAAAAATTCCCCACAGACGGGATTGTTCAGACTATTCTTATTTGACATGGTTATTAATGAGGAGGAGGAGGGAGCAAATCGCACATTAATGAACTTCACAGACAATAATACTCTGGGAAGCTCTGAGGGCTCCAGTGAGGCGAGACCATTGGCCAAGTGGAGTGCAGCGCTATCCTTATGCCAGTGAAAGGCTGAAACTTCTGAACATTGCACCCAATCCTTTCCGAAACCAGTGGGCTCATGGGGCAGACACCCTTCATTGTCAGTGAAAATCAGCAAGATGAAGAAGCCTGTTTTCCTCTAAGTTCACCATATGGTCTTTGTAGAATGTGACGTGAGGTGACCTGAGTGTTTGGGGTTTAGGGTGACAGTTAATAGGTATTTCACTTCACACAGACTGTTCTTCCTCTCCTCTCCCTACACTCAGCTGGGCTCCTTGCTTCACGTCCCTGGCCCGTGTCTCACAGGTAAACTCTTTGCACCCACTCCTGACAAGTCCCATCCTTTACACTGACACTAAACATCACCTTTCTGCCAACACTCAGGTCAGAATTCTGATGGGCTTAGCACAAATAAATAAATAAATAAATAAATAAATAAATGCCAAATTCCTACTAAAGTCACACATTTTTTTTGCTGTGATCAAGATCTGTAAGTTTTAGAACAAAGTGGGAATATGAGAGGGACGTGAATACCACCAGAGCCATGCAAGAGATGAAGCATGTGACACCACGCATTCTGCTCCTCAGCAACATAAAGGAGTGAGCTTCTGAATGAGCAAGTGAACAAACCACCTTTGGTAGCTGAACCCAATACCGTGACACCATACAGCCTCTCATGACTGCAACCATACAGCCTCCTATTGCCTACATGAGAGATGGTCCAGTCCCTCAGCCATTTCATAACCTGGTAGGAGATGGATTCCCCGACAGCTGTTTTCCCCAGGCATAGGACATCACCTTTTGCAGCAGGTATAGGTATGCCTGAAGCAAACACAGTAATTTTGGCACAGTCAGGACCAGAGGCTGCAGGAGCTGGGGGTGCTATCCCAGCTGAGCTGTGCAGGAGCATCATCTGGAAGGCAGCAGTGAATTGAGGTGAGTACAGCCTGCCCGAACCACTGCCCGAGAAGGAGGCAGAGCCCGTGGCTTCGGTGGCTGCAAGGCAGTATGTAAAATAAGGAGTAAAACCACCACGCAGGCAGTCGAGGTGGGCTGAGTTCACAGCAAAAGCAGCAGCCCTTCCCAGTGCTGGGCAAACTGGGTTAAAGCTGCAATTGGCACAGAGTGCAACTGGATTGACTGGGAGGGTGCAAAGAGTGGGGGAACATCGAGCATCCTGAGCACCAGAACACCTCCTCTGCATCTTAGCCAAGTAATAAAATGAGACAAGTGCGGTTGGATGAACACCAGAAAGGTCCTGACATTTCAGAAATCCTTTGCTGTTTTGCCTTTAATCAGTCTGTACTAAGCCTCAAATATGAAAAGAAATGCTTAGGGCAAAGGTGAATTTCATAGTAAGAGCAAATTGCTTTGACGCGTGTCAATTTGCTGAGATTTTTATGGCAAGGAAATGATATTATTTCCCAGGCCCCTGGCATGGCACTAAAGGTCACACCTCACAACACAGCTCTCGTCCTTTTTTTTTTTTTTTTTTTTTTTTTTTTTTTTTTTCCCCAGCTGTTGTATCCAGGACAAAAACCACAACAGGCATGAAGATGTCACTGCTGCTTTTTGGTATCATCAGGATAAAAAGTCTCAACAACCTAGGTTGTTGCATGTTCTCAGAAGTTTATTGTGAATTTGGAATGAAAATGGATAGCGAAAAGTTCACGGCCACTTTGAGTGAATATTGAGTATTACACAAATGTATTTATCTCCCTTCTCAGAAGAGTTCACATTCCTTCACAAATCAGCCTCATTACTTCTAAATGAGAACTTCTCCCACACGTTCACAATGCAGGCTCCCTAAAAAAATACTTTCCATAAAACACAGCCCAAGTACTACAGTTTTATGAAGACATCCATAACAGTGGGTATGCTATGAAGCATAATTACAGAATATCCCACAGTTGAGGCGTGTCAAGATACGGGGCCATGCATAAATTTACAGGCCTTAAGCAGGGTGCCCTATGTGGGTAGAGCTTCTCAGGCACAGGGCTAACTGGTCAGTGAAGGTGCAAACCCACTGAGCACAGACTGTAACTGAGCTTTTGCTCTTATGAAGAAATTACATCAGAGGTGAAGTGCTGCGTGGAGGCTGCCAGAAAACCAGGAGCCACATCATTAGCAGGGACTCAGAGCACTCTTCCCATTTAGTTAGTGTGCTGACAAAGGTCCGTCTTGTTCTTGAGGGGTCCAGTGTATCACCCTTCCCTTATTTGCTTCCAGAAAGCTGGGACAGGAGCTGCTGCCTCACAGGCAGCACCCATCTCCTCAGCACCGTCTGCTTGCTGTAGGCAGCCCAGCCACTCAAGGTATCCCACATTGCCCCCCTCATGAACCCCTCAAACACCTCACAGACCCCTCAGACTCCCTCACAGACCCCTTCACTGAACCCTCGCACGCCCCTCCCCGCCTCCCTCCCGAGGGCAGGCTAATGGCAGCCAGAGAAACCCAAGCCCCTTCCCTTCCCTTCCTTCCCCTCTCCCCCGTCGCCATCTAACGCCCGGAGGCGCGCCTGCGCCAATGCTCGCAGCAGCCGCCATGGCCGCTCCCCTCCTCGGCGCATGTGCTTGAGCTCCTCCTGCTCCTCCTCCTCCTCCTCCTGCTGCTGCTTCTACCACTGCTGCCGCTTCTACCACTGCTACCGCTGCTTGCCCTGGCCGGGCTCGGCGCAGCGCAGCGCGATGGAGGTGGAGGAGGCGTTCCCGCTGGTGGGGCAGATGGGTCCCTACCAGGTGTACCTGTGCGTCCTGCTGGCCGTGCTGCTGCAGGTGAGGGAGGGATTTCTGCCTGCCGGGCTGGGAGGTGGTGGTGGCTGCTGGCACAAGTGCTGCCAAGGTCTGGCACTGCCTGGCCTAGGCTGGTGTTCTCTGGGTGGTGTCTTGGTGCAGGAAGGGTTGCAGAGGTAAAGGTGCTCGGTAATGCCTGTGAGTGTAGGAGCTGGCACCTAAAAAGCTGATGGGCTGCGACTGCTCGTGATATGTCATCTTGCCTTGACTTCGTCTTCAGCGTGTTTCTGTGCTAGGTGTTTGGGCAAGGCTCAGCCTTTCAGGTCTGTATTCCTGCGAGATTCAAAGTGCTTGTAAGGTCAGTGATGGAAACAAAATGCTTCAGTGATAGAAACAGAGCCCAGCATAACAGCGGAGCACTATATTCAGAGACCTGTGAACCTAGTGATGTGACCTGCTGGCAAGCCCGTCCGTACTTCCTGCTTTGCTTTGTCTTCGTGTCCATTCCCAAAGTTGTGTGGGAGATGAGGACAATATGTGTACATTCATACCTTGCCAAAGGGATAAGGTACAGCTTGAATCTGACAAAAGTTCACTTGACTCCATTCTAACTCGTCCAAAACTTGGTGGCAGTGAGTTCAACTAGGCTTAGTAATGCTGGATTACTGCCACTGTGGGAACGTACCAGCTGCAGGAGGGAAGAGGGGGGGATTTAAAAGCATCCCTCCTGCTGCTGACCAATATCTTCTGGTAACCTATGACTTCCAGTCATGAGCTGTGAGACTGAAGATGTCTTCTGTCAGCCAAGGGATTGATGGCAGTAGTAAGAAACTTTGTAAGGGGACCAAAGAAACTTCATACGCCCAGTCCTGTCAGCTGGGAATTCTGTACTTGCTTGCTAAGATGATGAATGGCAAAGGCCTCGTAAGTTTCACATTCCTTGTACTGTTTTTCTTCATTTTCCATCCATGATTTAACTTATTTATCCTTTAAAATTCAGCACTGCTTAGAACTTGATGTTCTGGCTGACTGGCAAGATGACATGTATGCTCGCTGAAGTTGAGAGAGCAAGGAAACAATACTTACTTTTTTCCTTCCAGTGGTGTCCATGTTTTGGAACAAACAGCAACTACAACGAGTGCTCTGTACTCCAAGAGGGTTGGGTAGTGTGGTTCAACTGTCCTGTAATGCCTTTTTTATTTGCTTGCTTTGTAATGAATTAACTAGTATTTCCCATATCAGAAGTAGACTGCCATGGGAAATACATGAAGTATTTTCGCAAATCACAGAGCAAATTCAGAATATTTTTTTTGGGGGGGGAGGAATGGAACAGGTGTACAGATTTTTTTTTTTTATAATTATCAAATTATTTGATCTTTGATTCCTGAATTTTACCAATGAGGATCACCCCCTGGCTGATACAAACTCCTATGCCTGCACAGATGTGAAGTACAGAAAACACTAGGGAATTAGATGTGAAGCATGTTGCCTTTCAGTCTGTGGGTAGGTTCAGATTTATACCACTGGCTCCTGCCTGAGTGGCTGATTGCTTTCTGTGTTCCTTTATGGGTGCCAGGTTATGTAATGTGTCACTGGGATGTGCTAGAGTAAGTCTGAAGGGAGGTGCCATGGCTGGTGTTAGCCACTTGTCTGATTTATTGTCAAGTTCTGAAGGACAGACACGAAGGTGTAAGTAATGTATTTGGTGTGTGTGATGTGGACTTGGGTAATCACGGGCTCTCAGTGCCTCAGACACACCATCTAGCTAGAGGAAGAGAACTCGTGTTAGTCTGTCAGTGCCTCTGCCCTGGACTGACTGTTCCAATTGATTGCTTGTTTCCCTGTGCCTTCCTACAAGCTACCTCAGTTGGCTTGTGGTTTTTGTGTTGCTACCATATTTGTAACAAAAATATTTCTACATTCTTAAAAGTAACAATACCACAGGGTGAAAATCGGTTTTGTCTTAAGGCTGTATTGGATGAAGGGTCTTGACAATGTACTAAGCTTAAACTCTATGCTTTCCCTACTCCTTAAGATTCCCTACAGATTTTTTGCTTTCCATGTGGAATTCATGCTTTTTCATCTCTGGATGTTTCTGATCTATTGGCTTTCATACTACTTTGTAGTTCTTTTCCCTCATCTCACGGTGTTGTGTTGTTTTTTTTTCTCTTAAAAACTTCTACAGTGAACTGTGTGTAGCCCTACTGATATGCCCTGGTAAAACCTTCACGTCTGATCTTTGAATCCAAAATGCAAACATAGTTTAGCTCACAGAATTTCTTTGAGACGAGTTGCACCGAATGCTGAAGTTTGTATGAGTGAGACTTTCCACATGGCAGTCAGTTTTCACACAGGCTTTAGTGAACTGGTGCTAGACCTGTGGGATGAGCTGACACTGGAAAGAAAACCCTCCAGGTTGCTTGTAGGTGGAAAATTGTCTCTGTATGTCATTTGTGCAAAATTAGCCTAAGTCTTGTGAGCCACTGTTGTTCAACTTTGCAGGGTATTCGATTTCACTTTCTTGCTGATTCTTCTGTTCCTCTACTACCTGCTGCTGTTACTCATTAACTTGTTGGAGCTGTTACTGCACTGAACTGTGTTTGGCTTATTTGCTACCAGCCTAATGAATTTGGAAGATCTTTGGATGTGTTCTGTAGCAGTGGTTGATATCTTTATAGTGGCATGATGATAGCTAAAACAGAGAAATGTTTTGTTCCAGTATCTATAGAATTAGACAAAGGCCAAACTTACCTGAAGGATATGGGGTTGGGCTAATTGTATGAATTGCAGGCTGCATTAGTCTTGCATTTCTAGCGCATCTTCAAGACAGTTAGAGGGAGGAATAAAGTGAGCTGATAACTCTTGGAATACTTACAACTTTACTTTGAACTGAAAGTAGGTTTGCGACACCCATTGATTACTAGAAAAGTGCTCACTACATGTATCCATACATTATTAAAATGGTGTCTTGTGTTTAGTGTGTAGCAACATTAGACACAGATCTCACATCTGGATCAGATGCCTAAAGAGTGCACAAGTGTTAAAAAAATAAATAAAAATGTTTATTGCTCTCAATATATGTAGTTGAAGGAGACTTGCGTTTGCCAGTGAACCTGAATTACAAGATTGCTCAAATCTGATCTGAACCAAAACAGAAATTGAAGAATGGCAGTGTATTGCCACTATGTCTCTTTTAAAAGGCTTCTTTAAACCTTTTGGAGTTAAAAAGGGAGGTCCTATTTGCAAGGCTGAAAAATGCTTTGTGGTAAGTTGGGTTACATGTGCCTTGCACAGTGATATGAATAATTACCTAGGGTGTTGTTTCTCTCTAGCTTGGAACTATTACTAACTGAAGGGAAGATGGAATGAGAATGAGTGTAGATGGAATTAGTGTAATCAACTTTCTTGAAGAATACTTTGCCTTAAGTTAAAACAAAGTCATTGTTGATGCAGTTGCAGCATGATATCATGATGCAGAAAGCTGCTCTTTAACCAGCCCATCTGCACAAATGTTCTGAGGGAAAGCAGGTACTTGGACACATAGCTTAAGTAAGGTAAGTTCTTTCTGAATCCTTAGAAATAATTCAGAAGGAGCAGTGTCTGGCTCCACATAAGATACAGAAGTGATTCCGTGGCTTAGCTCTCTTTCTCGACAGAACATTTCTTATTCATTCAGAAGATGAAATACAGGAAGGTGTGGGAGCACACCATCACTCAGCATCTGTAATGACACTAATAAAACCTTGTCAGTGAATCTTTTCAATGCTTGTTTGAGCCAATTATGGTGTTCTTTGAACTATGTGGAGCCGGTCATAAAATAATACAGTTTAGTCCCTCCTTGATGAGGCATACTGTTAGGATCATATCTGAATAGAAGGCACAAAACAAATATGAAGTGTAATGAAAAATTTAAAGTGAAGGAAAGAATACACTTGCTAGCATAGGTGGCTAAAGGTGTTCAGGGGCTTCATGATAGATGCTGTTTGCCCAAAGTTACTTGCACTGTAGCTTAGACATAGTTCAACTTTAAGAGTCTGTAAGGTATGTAAGCAAGGCAACAGGTGTAAAAAAGCTGTATGGAATTGCTGTGTGACATTCCTTCACTTTGATTACCTCACTATTTGGCTGCTTTTTTTTCTTAACATTTGTGGGAGAAGTTTTAAGTCCCCTTCCTGGGAAAGCAGTTGCAGAATGTGCATCAGATGTGTGCAGCCACTTGTGTGGAAAAGTGGTTTCAAATGTGGCAATACAAACAAATAAAGTACAGAGTCCCAATTTTAATTTCTTGAGGTGAGCTCCTTATTCCCACATATTTCATACATTGTATCTTAAGAATATGCTTATACTAAAGAATACAAGGACTTTTACTTCCCTTGTGGAAGTGATGAAGGTTTCTAACATAGTTGCAGCTCTGAAAATAATGCCTTGGTCTGGTCCTTATTCCTGTTCAGGTGGAAAAATATTTTGGGTGGGCATAAGTACGTAAACTAATTACACTGCAAGACACATTGCTACACATTTAGTTGAGAAGTGTTCCTACCTGAAAGTTGGCAGGATGTGTGAGTAAAGACCAGTCCTACTGCTTGCTTCAGTTGGGTGGGGGAACCTTTTATAGGAAAAAAGGTTGTTATTTGGTCACGTTTTTGATTTTTATTTCATGTGTAATGATTTAGATGCTAACTGAGACTTCCCAATGCTTTAGTGGAGTTCTTATCCAGGAGAAGAACCAGAAATATAGTCAAGACTCAGCATGGTCTTTCTGTAATACTTTCAGATCCTTAACTCTTCCTTAAAAGAAATAATCAGTCATCTCTTCTGATGCTACAGCTAGGACTTGGAAACGTGAGTGCAGCTGCTACAGACACTGCATTATATTCTGCAGAAAGCATGAAATAACAAAAATAAGTTGTGATCTGCTTTGTTAACAGTGGGGTTCTTAACTCTCAGGTGTAATACAGAAGTCTGAAGTCCAGTAACTTCATCCCTATTGATTAATGTTAAGTTGTGAACTTGATGCATTTTTTTCCAAACATCATGCTAAA